AGGAATTTTCAAAAATTCTGTGAATGCAATGTTTTCAATAAGGTCTGTCCTCCCAAATTTTCGAATCGATCGGAAACTTGACGGCCGAGCCCGAGACTCTTGAAAACGGTTAAAATCAACTGAAAATCACGTTTTTCTTATCGTATTAAGCGGTACTGTAATTTTAAGAGAGGACCATGAAAAAGTAAAAAAAAACCCTGTGTTGCGCAATAGAAAAAAAAGATAATGAGGAGGTGAGAGAGAAGAGACTTAGACAGTCCAAGAAGGCGACCTGTGCGCGGGGACCCTCTCGCCTGTAGAGTCTACAGCATAGATTGGCGGGTGTAGTGTAGTTCACGAGATGAGCGCGCGAGAAAAGTGACCCTCGACCAGACGACTGTTGTGGTCCTCATTTTCTTTCCTCATTCATTTTGGTTTGTTTTTCTTGTTAGTTGCGCTGGCGGATTGCGTGATATGGGTTTCTTCTGAGGTGCATTATCATTTTGAATTACTTGCGGTTATCCAGAGGAAAACATAACAGCTATTCGATAATTTTTCTTATGCAGATCTCGATAAATCAGACATGAAAAACATAATGTTCTCGAAATTCCGTCTAAATACACCCCTCAAAGAGTTGAACTCATGATCGGACATTATTATATGATAAATGAGAATAAAGAACGATTCGGCGGCAAGAAATTCAGGGTAATACTGGTGTCAGGGAAGGCAAAAATCAAAGATAGGAAATGGAGCATGAAAACTAGCTACTTGTTTCGAAAGTTTGAGCGTTTGATGAACAGGTAGATGAAGAAGATTGTGAAGTCTGTGTTGAGTTGTTGGTCTCTAGTTCTTGGGCAACATCATTCAATCGTTCTCGTGCTTTTCTTCCAGATATGTCATCCTGAAAGCAAAGATAAATTATTTAAACTATAAGTAGGGCTCTTTGCATACAGTGCCTCTCAATGAGATATACAGAAACCTAGTTTTCTGTTGATTTTGACTTTTTCAGAAGTCTAGAGCTGGATTTTTAAGTTTTCTATAATATTGATAATTTTGAAGGGTTTAAAACAGACCTAGATTGAACCTTTGCGTTTACACAACTTTTTGAAAATTCCTAAGTTACTCAGTTAAACCTGAATTTCTAGAAAACACTCTTTTTTGCCTGTTTTTGTAATGAAAACGTAAAAATAGCAGGTGTCATTCAGGAATTGTAAAATGACTGAAAAACAAGGAACTTTCAAGAAAATTCCAGAGAATGGTGCGAATCAAC